CATTCTGACCCCTTCTGACCTCTGACTTTTGGGGAATCCCTCAGATTCCAACTCTGCTTATAATCTTAGGTCATGCTTTTTTTTTTTTTTAAACAACTCTGCCTGGTTACCTTGCAAACTCGGGCTCATGCTTCAAGACTCAAAACTGTTTTTTCCTCTTTGAATCATACTTCTTTAACTGTATGTCTTTTCTCAACTTACAGAGCCCCTGGTATACACCTTTAATGTCAATTACAAATGTCTATGTCCTCTCCCACAACTCTCTGAATAACAACTGAAAGATAACTCTCCAGAGGTCCACTAGTAATCGTCCACCACATTATTTTTCTTAGATGGTCTTGCTGAGAGGTAACTTACACTTTGTAGGTTTTTAAAAAAAATAATGAAAATTCTTATCACTAAAATTTTGAGTTTATGGTACCATGGGGCAAGAGTGAAAAAAGGTTTAACTTCTCCTATTGTGACAAAAATGATTAGGATGAATAATCCTAGGAAGAACAATTAGTATGGAGATGACTTTCTATCTTAGAGAACAGATTTTTTTTTTTCTTTTTAGAGAACAAATTTTTAACACTTTAGATTCATTTCTAGACAAGTTTATGCTAACCCTGTATTATTCCTATGTATTCACTGGGAGTAGTAGATGCAGTAGATGGAAACACTATGGGGTTTGTAGTCAGGCAGATGTGATTTGGAATGCAACTTGAACACTCTGGGCCTGCAGAAGGCAGCCTTCTAAAATGGCTTGAGGTGATCTCTGCCTGCTGTTATTCATGCCTTTGTGTAATGCTCTCTCTTTTTGAGTGTCGCCGAATCTAGTAACTTTCTTTTTTAAAATAATCAACAGAAATTTGTATCTCACAATTCTTCTGGAGGCTGGAAAGTGCAAGATCAAGGTACTAGCAGATTTGGTAGCTCATGAAAGCCTGTTTCCTGGTTCACTAGCGACTTGTTTTAATGAATACAAGAAAAGTGGTGGAAAACACTTCCAAAATTAGGTTATAAAAGTCTGTGACTGCTGTGCTACTGGCAGTCTCTCACTTGCTCACTTTGATGATGCCAGCTGGCATGTTGTAAGCAGCCACAGAGAGGACCATGTGCCATGGTGTTGAGGGCAGCCTCCCACTCAGTCCAGCAGCCTGTTGAAAACTGAATCCAACCAACAGGAATGAGCCTTGGAGTGGATCCTTCCCCAGTGGAGCCTTGAAATGACTGTAACCCTGGCCAACTATCTTCTTTGCAGCTGTGGGAGACCCTGAAGCAGTCTGAACCTAAAACTGCATGTGGATTCCTGATCTACAGAAACTGTGAGGAAATAAAGGTTTTTTAAGGTCAATAAATTAGTGTATTGTTCAACGGATAACTAATACTGATGGCATACCTCAGAAATATCATAATTAAAAATGAGTAAAAAGCATCTATTTTATATATATATATATGTATGTATGTGTATGTAAGCAACAGTTAGAACTGGACATGGAACAACAGATTGGTTCCAAATAGGAAAAGGAGTACGTCAAGGCTGTATATTGTCACCCTGCTTATTTAACTTCTATGTAGAGTACATCATGAGAAACGCTGGGCTGGAAGAAGCACAAGCTGGAATCAAGATTAGCAGGAGAAATATCAATAACCTCAGATATGCAGATGACACCACCCTTATGGCAGAAAGTGAAGAGAACTTAAAAGCCTCTTGATTCTTGATGAAAGTGAAAGAGGAGAGTGAAAAAGTTGGCTTAAAGCTCAACATTCAGAAAACTAAGATCATGGCATCTGGTCCCGTCACCTCATGGGAAATAGATGGGGAAACAGTGGAAACCGTGTCAGACTTTATTTTTCTGGGCTCCAAAATCACTGCCAATAGTGATTGCAGCCATGAGATTAAAAGACGCTTACCCCTTAGAAGGAAAGTTATGACCACCCTAGATAGCATATTACAAAGCAGACATTACTTTGCCAAAAAAGGTCCATCTAGTCAAGGCTATGGTTTTTCCAGTGGTCATGGATGGATGTAACAGTTGGACTGTGAAGAAAGCTGAGCGCTGAAGAATTGATGCTTTTGAACTGTGGTGTTGGAGAAGACTCTTGAGAGTCCCCTGGACTGCAAGGCGATCCAACCAGTCCATCCTAAAGGAGATCAGTCCTGGGCATTCACTGGAAGGACTGATGCTGAAGCTGAAACTCCAATACACTGGCCACCTGATGTGAAGAGTTGACTCACTGGAAAAGACCCTGATGCTGGGAGGGATTGGGGGCAGAAGGAGAAGGGGACAACAGAGGATGAGATGGTTGGATGGCACCACTGACTTGATGGACGTGAGTTTGGGTAAACTCCGGGAGTTGGTGATGGACAGGGAGGCCTGGCATGCTGCGATTCATAGGGTCACAGAGTCGGACACAACTGAGGGACTGAACTGACTGATGTGTATGTAACTAGGGATCTCTACCAATGTTTTATTATAGCATTGTCGGTATTACAATAATGGTTTTTAAGTAATGCTATAGAATTTTACAGTGACTTTACATACATATCTTGATTCTCAGAGCAGAGCTCTAAGTGTGATATAATAATGTATGTGGTCTTAGTCCTGGGTTTCTGGCACAGAGCCATCTAAAGAAAACTCTTGGAGTTTTCTGATAGGAGCCTTTTGTCTTTCAGCAGAAGTCTCTTTTGAGCATTAAAGTTTATGCTAATGAAGTGACCCAGGGTGAGGTCCCTAGATAACCTCAGGTTAGTGGGGCACTAACCTGTGGGAAGGGGAAAGTAGGGGAGGCTACAGATTAAGCTCTGAATAAACTCTTGAACAACAAGAGTTGAGCTTCTGTGTTGGTGAGCACAGAGAACTTGCAAACTCTACATACTCCCTCCTTCCTACATACTTTACCCTATTTCTGAGTTAGAGCCTTTTGTAACAATCCAGTAAATATAAGTAAATGTTTCTCTGAGTTCTGTCAGCCACTCTAGCAAACTGAAGAGAGGGTCATGGGGACAGCCGATTTAACCTGTACTTGCTACTGGTGCCTGAAGAGGGTTGGTGGGGAGTCTTGTTAGACTGAGACCTGTTGGATCTGACACTATCTCCAGGTAAACATTGTCAGAATTGAATTAAATTGTAGGACACCACAGACAGTATCTGCTGAGAACTGGAAAATTGCTTGGTGGTGTTTGTAAAAAACATATTGCAAAAATGGAGACTAAAATATTATTCCTCTTTTACAAAAGAAGAAACTGAGGGTCGAGAGAATTTAAGTGACTTGTCCAAGGTTCTACAACTTTAAAACTGTCAGAGTGGAGATTCAAACCTAGACCTTCCCCATCTCTACCATGTTGACATTTAACACTTTTATAACCACTAGGTGTCACAAATATATTTGAGGCTCCGAAAATAGAGGCGGATAAGAAAAACAAGGTCTCTGCCCCCATGGAGCTTACATTCATTTTTATACAATTGGAAATGAAAATATAAAGGTTTTGAGTAGTGTGTTTTTAGTATTTTATGACTTGGAAATGTGTTTACTTTATCATCAACTTTGTTCTGATTTGAGTGAATTTCACTGGCAGTGATGTAATACAAAGCTGAAGCATAGCTGTGTTTCAGTATTTGACTAAAGAGACCATCTCAGATTAACTCAATTAACATTCTCCTTCATTAACCTGTTTTATTTACCTAGTAGCACTTAACAGTCTTTTCCACTAGAATGTAAATACTTTGAGAGTAATGACATCTTTACTCCTTTTTGTTTCTTAAGAGTTTCTGTGGATTCTGACTAAATCTGGTATTTCTTTCATCATGTCTATGGACTTTTAGGAAGGTAAGAGTCAAATGTAAGCATTTATTTATTTTTAAAAGGGGCATAACGGCTTTACAATGTTGTTAGTTTCTGCCGTACAATGAAGTTAGTCAGCTATAGATACACACACACACCCCTTCCCTCCTGAACCTCCCTCTCCCACCCTCAACTCACCCATCTAGGTCATCACAGAGCACTGAGCTGAGCTCACTATACCACAGGTTCCCATTGGCGATGTTTTACAAATGGTAGTATATTCATGTCAAACCCATCTCCCAATTCATCCCACACAATCCCTTCCCCCTGGGTCCACACATCCGGTCTCTATGTTCACATCTCTGTTCCTGCTCTGGGACTAGATTGATCTGTACCATTTTTCTAGATTTCACATATTTGCATTAATATATGACATTTGTTTTTCTCTTTCTGACTCACTTTATTTTGTACAACAGACAAATGTAGGCATTTAGATAACCACCTTAAACCTGAAGTCCCAGCTTGTTTGGGGAAAGGTTTATTTTGCTCAAAAGTATTTGTCAAGAAAACCTTGTGAACTGTCATGTAACAGATTCTGCTTTGTCAACACATAACTTTTCTGAGAAGTTAAAACAATCTTATAGGGAACTTGTTGACAACTTTGAAAGAAAATTATTTCTGGATGATCATATCCCCTACAAAACATGTGACTTATTAAACCTTAAAAAGTTAAAAAAAAATCCCATCACATCTATCTTCAGCAAATTAAAAGCAAACTGAAGATGTTTTCAAGTTTAATTTCTAATTTGAATTATATACCAGATTCCTTACTAGGCCAGCCTAAACTAATACATAAAATCCATTTATTACCAAGTTGTCCCATTAAGAGAAATAGCATTTGATAAAATCTCGTAATGTCAATATACATGCTGATTTAGTTTCTGACATATAAAATATAACCAGTGGCAGAGTTTTGAGTAATAGCACTATGGTAGACGGCATAATAACCAGAGATCAGATTACTTGAGTTTGGGATGGAACTAATCATTGCAGCTAAGTTTATCAATAAATTCTAGGTTTATATTGTTTTCCCTTTAGACCACTATGTAAGTTAAGAGGATTCTGTCTATAGTAATGGAAAACCCAATGTAAAGGGTCTTAAACAGTAAAGAGTTTTATTGACCTAGGTAACAAAAAAATTAAAGGCAGCAAAGTGACCAAGTGTGGTTCCATCAGGGTTCTGATTTCTCATTTTTTTGGCTGTGCCCTGTTCTACATATTGGCTTTATCCTCACGCTGGTAGCTAAAGAGTTATAGCAATTCCAGGCCTCCCAAGCACAAGGGATATTTATCTCTTTCTTAAGAGTGAGGAAGCATCTTTTGTCAAAGCCCCTGTAATACTGCTCTTGCCTTTCACTTGCCTGTATTGGGTCACAAGCTATTCCTGGGCCAATTTCTGTGGCCAGAGTAATAGTATGCTTCAACAGGCTTAGAGGCAGGTTCCCTGAACAATTTTTTTTTAAGAGCAATGGCATTACATTCACTGATATTTTTCAAACGATGGATTATGACCTAAGAATGGATCAAGAAATTAATCTTTTGAGTCCTCATCATTGAAAAAAATTAAATATATTTGCAACTACATTGCACATATAAAGGATTAGTACTGTTTTATGACACTTTGGTGCTTACACATACTCACAACTAGATTTTAATGTAAAATCTGTCTCCTATTGTGAATTGGGGAGAAAAAAACTATCTTAAAACAAGTTCATACCTAAAGCTGAAGTGGGGTCAGCTTTTACTTAAGAATATGGATTATGTACGGGAAAAGTAGGTACCTGAAAGAAAATCAAGAGTACAGTCTGGGAGAGAAAAAAAAAGATGCTGGGGATTAGTCAATAAATTCCACTGCAACCTGCCTGATGCATAAGTTATTCCTTAAACTATATTAGATTCCAACATAGTCATAACCAAACATATTTTAGTTTTTCCAATGTTTTCTAAATTTCCCCTTCCAAAAAAAACATTTCATTCCTTTCATTTAGTAAGCATCCCACAATGGAGCAATTTATAAATTTCATCATTTGGTTGTTGAAAAGCATTATAGTTTAAGATTCATATAATAAGCTTGGTTTATGGGAATTCCCTGCTGGTCCAGGGGTTAGGACTCGATGCTTCCATTGCTGGGGGCACAGGCTTGATACCTGTCAAGGAAATAAGATCCTGCAAGCCGAGTGGTTAGGTCAAAAAGAAAAAACCTGTCTTAAACAACAAGGTCCTACTATCAAGCACAGGGAACTATAATCAATATCCCATGATAAGCCATAATGGAAAAGAATGTATATATATGTGTGTGTGTGTGTAACTGAGTCACTTTGCTGTACACCAGAAATTGATACACTGTAAATCAACTACACTTCAACTCCAAAAAAAAAAAAAAAAAAAGCTTGGCTTCCAAGGGAAAAAACCTGTATTTCAAATAACTGAGCACATCTTTTCATAACTTAGTCTTTATTTAGGTTAAAATTTTTATCTTATTTGACAAGAACCTTAGAACTCATTCTAGTTCAACCCCTTTCATTTCATAAGTGAAGCAACCAAAGCCTAGAGAGGATGAACTTAAGGCAGTTAATTAGTTGCAGAACACAAGTCTCTTGACAGCTGCTTCAGAATTCTTTCCATTGCACTAATTAATGGTGCAATTATACCAACTTTAAAAAATTAAATAACATATGTATGTTCCAGAGGCATCTAGATTTACACAGCTATGGATTCTTTCAGGAGTTATATGTGAGTTTATTTTGGAGAATAAAAAAAATTGCACTTTTAAGGAAATAGGGGAGCTTATTAAAGAAATGCTGCTCTGGGGAGTCAAAAGATATTTGTACTCCCATGTTCACATGGGAGTTCACATGAATATATGAATAGCATTATTCATAGTAGCCAAAGACAAATATAAACCAAATGTCCACTGATGGATGAATGGATAAACAAAATGTACACACACACACACACACACAGACTACTACTCAGCCTTAAAAGGAGGAAATTTTGGCACATGCTACAACACAGTCAAACCTAGAAGACATTATAAGCAGAATGAAATCAGACAAAAGACAAATACTCTATGATTCCACCATGAGGTCCCAAGATTAGCCAAGTTCACAGAGACAGAAAGTAAGAATGATGAATGCCAAGGACTAGCGGAGGGGAATTGTGGGGGATTAGTATTTAATGGGTCAGTTTCAGTATGGGGAGATGAAAAAGTTCTGGAGATGGATGACTGTGATGGTTGTGCAACACTGTCAATGTCCTTAATGTCACTGAACTATACACTTAAGAGTGCTTAAAATGGTTAAATTTTGTGTACTGTATATTTTCCTACAAAAAAAGAAACCTTGTATAGAGTAAAAAAAAAAGACAAAAAGTTACTACCTGATTTAAGTGAGACAAGGATTTTAAAGCTAATTTTCATAATGTTATAGTATGAATTATATTTCACTGTAATACTTGTACTTTTCAAGTTAGGGAATTCAATTTACTGAGCACTTACAGTATGATTAGAAATTTTCTGAACTCTATGAATGATCCAAAAGAATTCTAAGCTATGAGATTACCATTTGTGTATTTATATAGTATATGTGTGGTACTCAGGTGGCTCAGTGGCAAAGAACCCACCTGCTAATTCAGGAGACAAGGGTTCGAGCCTTAGATCGGGAAGATCCCTTAGTGAAGGAAATGGCAACTTATTCCAGTATTCTTGCCTGGGAAATCCCATGGACAGAGGAGCCTGGTTGGTTACAGTCCATGGAGTTTGCTGCAAAAGAGACCAACATGGCTTAACAACTGAACAACACCACGTGGTACTAGGGCAAGACTGACACAGGAAATGATCCTCATTAAGAAATCCAGGCAGGTGGAAAGGCAGTAGGGAGGGAAGGACTGGGAGTTTGGGATTAGCAGATACAATTATTATACTGTTATGTTCAGGAAGAATAAGCAAACAACAAGGTATAGCACAGGGAACTACATTCAATACCCTGTGCTAAATCATACTGGAAAGAATAGGAAAAAGATATATATAACTGAATCACTGCTGTATAGCAGAAATCAACACAACACTGTAAATCAACTAAACTTTAACAACATTTTTAAAAAAGACAAAAAAAATCAAGGCAACTTCAATTACAGTTGACCTTTGAACATGGGGGTGCCAACCCTTTACAAAGTTGAAAATCTGCATATCATTTAGTCAGCCCTCTCTAGCCACAGATTTAACTAACCATGGATAGTGTAAATACTCTATAATTTACTACTGAAAAAAATCTGGGTATACGTGGACCCAAGCAATTTAAACCTGTGTTGTTCAAGGGTCAGCTGTACTTGAAACACGTGAATTAAAAGTGGGATAATGTACATTTAATATTGTATTTTAACTTTACCTCAATATAACAAAACAAAAAAGCCACAGAGATGAAGAGATCCCTGATAATATCATCTAAACAGATCCAGTTATCCCTGAGGCTACCACAAACACTGACCAGTAAGTAAACTTTCTTAAGCTGATTTGGCCTTTCCTGGACTAGGCAGCGGTGGAGGGTATGGCTCAGCCCCATGTGGGATCTAGTTCCCTGGCAAGGGATCAATCCTGTGCCCCCTGCAGTGGAAGCATGGAGTCTTAGTCACTGGACTGCCAGGGAAGTACCTGATAAGTTTGATTTGCTTTCCTATAAATTACAATTGAGAGCCTTGTCTAATACAAAAACCAACTGTTGATATTTTAAGGAAAGTGTGGATCCAGTTAAATTAATTTCAGGAACTGGCAAAAAAAAAAAAAGTGGGAAAGCCTTCTTAGGTTGGGACACATTATGGGAATTTCACTGTTTCATGCATAGGCAGGGTAGCTGTCATTTGAAGGTGCCATGTTATTTAGGCCCTAAATCTCTCTTGCAAGAAGAATGCCATCCATTTCTTCCTATGGTTTTCTCTTTTGTGTGAAAGTGTCTGTCAGTCTTCTCTCTCGTTCCAAACAGTTTCTAACATCCAGAACCTAACAGAATACTGGCAGAAGGGCAAACAAAGGGCATTGGAGGTACAAAAGAAAGGGAATCTCAGTGCCCAAGGCTCAACTTTGTCTACTTTGGTTGTATTTAAGGAAGGCTGATTCTGAAGGAGGTAGAGTTTAAACATAAAGGAAAAGAATCTTTTGGGATTCAGTCATGGAATTTCAGTAGGTTAGAGTAGTACGGAAATTGCTGTCTTGAACAAGACTTGCCTATCATTCAACAGGTACAAGACCCACCTTTATGTAGAAAAGTTTATTCACACTAGCTGTACACAGTACCCATAGATTAGTCCTCATAGGTTATAGAGCAGGTAAGGAGTTGACATCAAGAACCAAGTTGGGTAGTGTTGGCATTAAACAGATCTTGTAGCAGTTAGCAGAGTCTCAAGTCAATAGACTTGGGCTTAAATGCAGAAAAGGAGACTCTCAGAGGAAGTGGTTAGGGACAAAGGATTACAAAGTGAGGCCTTGTATCTCAAGAGGCTGACATCCTGGCCAGGTACTTAAGCAAAGGCTTGGGTTCAGAAATCACACAGAGAGTCAGGTTCTTTCTTCCACTTGAGGAACCAGCCAGATGGACACATGAAAGCATCATACATATTTCTTAAAATAGGGTACATTTAATTCTGAGATTAGTACTGCATGTGTGAGTAGTTAGGATGAATCTTTCTAGAGAATTAATTTTACTTAATAGCAATTTAATCCCTATGCTACATTTTTTATATTAAAATAAGCAGTGATACTTTGATGTAGATGGCTATCTTGGATGAATTTAGAGAAGAAACCACAACAGATTTCAAAGAAAGGTGCACATTTTACTAGGGAGCTTTTAGCCATAATCCCAAGTCATTGTCTCATGCTCTTAGAAACGTTTGAAATGCAATGATGGCTAAAGTACTGCCAGAAAAGACCATTTTAAACTAAGTTCTGCTACTTATTGTGTGACTCTAGGCAAATTAAAAAATTACCTAATCCCACAGGATTGTCATAAAGATTACTGATAACATAAAATCACCTAATTGGGTGACTGAAAGATAAATAAGTGCTTAATGATGTGACAAAGGCAAAAAGAACCTGGGCTAAAAATACTCAATCTTGCTGTCTCAGATTAGGTCAGGTCCTATAGCCTGGAATGCTGTTGTGTCTTCACAGAGAATAAACATTTAGACTGGAAGAGTCAGTGTGGAGTGAAGTTTGACTAGGACATGGTTGAATATGGCAAGAACTAATGTAAGACACTTATCTGACTATCTACTGTTAGATTTATATACATACTCATTTCATCTTACTAACTCTTTAGAGAAGGCGTAATTAAAATTTTACAAATGAGATAATAGGTTCAGGAAGGCTCAGACTGAGCAAAGTTGAAAAGCTAGTTAGGGAATTTCCTGGTAGTCCAGTGGTTAGGACTCTGAGCTCTCACTGCTGCGAGCCCGGGTTCAATCCCTGTTCAGAGAACTAAAATCC